GAGGCATCTTCAGCAGAGATGTTCGGAGCTCAAGGAGCTGATTTCCTGAGAGGGGTTGCATTTTGGCGTATCAAATCATCAGCTATGCCAAGATGCTTTTTCGTGACAGGTGCAGCATTTCGTATGACCTGGACTAACTTTTTCGTGGCAGGCGCAGTACTCTAGAGACATGGCATGGAAAAATCGCAAAACGCATTGGTACGAGGCCGTCAGCTGTACAGTCAACTTTCCATTTTTGAAGGAAGTCTCGCAGAATTGCTTCGTTTTTTGATGTTTTCAACTGCAAAAAGTGAGAAAGTCTCGCAGAATTGCTTCGTTTTTGATGTTGCCAACAGAAGTCTAGCAGCATTGTTTTGTTGTCGACGTGGCACAGGTCAAGAGGTAGATCGAAGGACAGGTGGAGAGAGAACTTGACGGATGAAAAGATGCATAGATAGACACATAGGGAAGTAAAAAGTGTTAAAAACTGTCGGTCTCGGAGCACTTTTGGACGTTGAGATGTCGAAAAAGCGTACGGCGTTGTGGCGCGAAGCACATTTGGAAGTAAAAAGAGTTAAAAACTGGCGGTCTCGGAGCACTTTTGGAAGTTGAGATGTCAAAAAAGTGCACGGGGTTGTGGCGCGAAGCACATTTGGAAGTCAAAAGTGTTAAAAACTGAGGGTCTCGGGGACATTTTGGACGTTCAGACGTCGTTTTGTGTGGTAGGTGGAGTGGATTGTGCATCCACTGAAAAGCGACTAAAACGTGAGGGTTTTGTGGCATTTTCAAAAACGATGGCAGGCGTGGGAGATTTGAAGAGGATCTGCACAGATGCATTTTTCGTGGCAGGCGCAGTACAAGAGGCATCTTCAGCAGAGATTTTCGGAGCTCAAGGAGCTGATTTCCTGAGAGGGGTTGCATTTTGGCGTATCAAATCATCAGCTATGCCATGATGCTTTTTCGTGACAGGTGCAGCATTTCGTATGACCTGGACTAACTTTTTCGTGGCAGGCGCAGTACTTTAGAGACACGGCATGTGGAAAGATCGCAAAACGCATTGGTACGAGGCCGTCAGCTGTACAGTCAACTTTCCATTTTTGAAGGAAGTCTCGCAGAATTGCTTCGTTTTTGATGTTTTCAACTGCAAAAAGTGAGAAAGTCTCGCAGAATTGCTTCGTTTTTGATGTTGCCAACAGAAGTCTAGCAGCATTGTTTTGTTGTCGACGTGGCACAGGTCAAGAGGTAGATCGAAGGACAGGTGGAGAGAGAACTTGACGGATGAATAGATGCATAGAAAGACACATAGGGAGATAGATCGATAGTTTACTAGCTAGATGGACAGATAGACAGATAGATAGATAGATAGATCGATAGATAGATAGATAGATACATAGATAGAGACATAGAAAAACAGACAGAGACATAGATGGGTAGGTAGGTAGCTGGATGAATCGATAGAGAAACAGAACGAAGAACATGGTGATGGATAGCTGTGGACATGGATCGATGAAGAGATGGACGGAAAAAAACTAACAGAGAGAAGTAAGTGGATGGATGAATGGCTGGATAGACAGAAAGATAGACAGTTTAATAGATAGGTGAATAAACAAATCGATCGATAGATACATGAATAGACAGGTAGAAATCAGCGCCCTGACCTCCTAACAAGCCTCTGGATCTTCAGGTCCAACAGAACCATGCAAAAAATCACGGCGAAACAAATTCAGATTCTAGTCCCAAGAAGGTGCCTCAACTGCATACCGAGCTCCCATGAGCTCCCTCCCAGAGATATATAACAATCATACTTTCCGCATAGGAAACTTTCTGTCCAGGACATCTGGTGCTTTAGAAATAAATTTCCGGACCGTCCATGGATATTGGATTTGGCACATAAAGACATACCACAAGACACGCTACGAAACAAAACCTTCACAATGGGGGACGGTCAAAGGTCTAGAACTGCGCGTGATCCCCATTCTACAAAAAGGGGGGATCTTAGATACTCCGTAGTAGCGGGCATAAAAATGCGTCAAAGAAAACGCAAACCTCTAGCATCCATTCCCGGCAGCCCGGTCGACCCAGCCCAGGGGGAAGTACTGCTAAAACCAGCGCCAAAACAATGGTGCTGATGGCCAAAAGCAAGTTCCGTCTTCCAAACCTGGCACAGGATGTTCCCGCACAAATTTCAGCATGTATTTCAGCAATCTTCCGCCAGGAATTTCCACAGCTTCCCGCGCAACTTGAGAAAGCTGCAGCAGGATGCAACTTCCCAACCTTGTCAGCACCATAGGATCGGCACGCCTTGCCCAATACAAGGGCAATCCAATCTCATGAGAGTTTGAAAGTTCCAGCAAGATTCAACCCTGCTAAGCGTCCGATGTTTGCCACTGCTCCTGTTTTTTCTGTGTTTGCACCAAGGCCCGCTCTGCCAGCAGCTTGTCTCACCCTGCAAATAAGATGGCACCTTGCAAAGCGTGTGCAGAACAGCTTCTTTTTTTAACAGCGCACAAATCTTGCAACGCGTCTTTTCTGGCTTGTGCCCAGAAAGCCCCAAGACTGTTCAAGACTACTTATGTAAGGCTGATCTGCCAATGCTACTGAAAAAGTGAAGCACAACACGAAACAATGTCTCCCACGGCAAACGCCTGAGATGGCTGAACCAATGCCCATTCTGGCGCCTTGTGCAGTTGCACCTTACTGTCAAATGCGCTTGTAAAAGGTTCGCTTCTTAAAATCTTTCATCGAGCCTCTATCCGTTGCATCGGGTTGTGGACATGCACATGCGCCGCCAGTAGCAACGTGACTGACAGCAAGGGCAGACAACGATATGTATGTCGTTGTGATTGCGGTGACGGAAAAACAGGGTGGCAGGCACATGTTCTCCGCCCTTGATGCCTATCAGGTTTGGCCCATTGCAACTTTTCGCATGTTTTGCATGTGTCTGATGTGGATGGGTACTTGGTGACGGCGAGGACGACAATGATCATGTTGACGATGATAATGTTGATGTATGGGGGGCTCCTATCATACCCCCTACCGTCCATACCCCTTTGGAATATTTTTAAAATATTCCGCTATAGTTGAACGTTGTTTTGGAAAAGTATTCTGATACGTTGCCCACGTATGGAATAATTTCCAGCAATTTTGCTTCCAAAAATATTCTGGCAACATGTCAACCTTTTGCTGGAAAATATTCCAGGTATATGCTGAGGGTATCTAAGCTGAACATAGCTGAACATGATGGTGTTTGGCACCATTCGTTCTGCACATGTTTGTGTCGCGCTGGGACAGATGCATCATTTTTTCCCCAAGGGATGAAGCTTCAAAGGCGCCATCCCACACTGCATCCTACCCTACATATCCCTAAACTACATTAAACAACTTTGGAATTTTTTCTTGGGGAAATCCCTCAAAATGGCATTATACCTGGTTCTCTCCTGAAATTGTTCCCAACCATTTATTTTTCACCCTATTTCGTCCATGTTCTTTTCATGACTTCCAAAGAACTCCCAATAGCATCCGATGGCCTTGCGTGGTAAGGGCTAAAAAGGGTAAGAAGCGCTTGGTTGTCACATGTTTTGTCGTGTTTTTTTGAGGAGTTCCGGACATCTCCGCTACCCTTAGAATGCTTTCTCCTCTGGGGAAATCCCATAGAATGGCATTCAACTTGGCTCTCTCTTGGAAGTGTTCCCAACCTTTCATGTTTCCCTCTATTTCTTCCATCTTCTTTTCAGCAAGAAGCATTTGGTTGTGATTGTTTTTTTCATGTTTTGTCCTGTTTCTGGGCTGGTTGGGTGGTTGTGGCAGCTACTTTTTTATTCGAAGGGTTCCGGATATCTCACATACCACCAGAATCATTTCTTCCCCAGTGGAAACCTCACAGGATGGCATTCAACATGGCTTTCAACATGGCTCTTTCCGGGAAGTGGCCCGAGCATGTCCCAGCCTTTCATGTTTCCCTCTATTTCTTCCATCTTCTTTTCAGCAAGAAGCATTTGGTTGAGATTGTTTTTTTCATGTTTTGTCCTGTTTCTGTGCTGGTTGGGTGGTTGTGGCAGCTACTTTTTTATTCGAGGGGTTCCGGACATCTCACATACCCCTAGAATAATTTCTTCCCTGGTGGAAATCCCACGGAATGGCATTCAACATGGCTCTTTCCTTGAAGTGCCCCCAAAATGTCCCAACCTTTCATGTTTCCCTCTATTTCTTCCATCTTCTTTTCAGCAAGAAGCATTTGGTTGTGATTGTTTTTTTCATGTTTTGTCCTGTTTCTGTGCTGGTTGGGTGGTTGTGGCAGCTACTTGTTTATTCGAAGGGTTCCGGACATCTCACATACCCCTAGAATAATTTCTTCCCTGGTGGAAATCCCACAGAATGGCATTCAACATGGCTCTTTCCTGGAAGTGCCCCCAAAATGTCCCAACCTTTCATGTTTCCCTCTATTTCTTCCATCTTCTTTTCAGCAAGAAGCATTTGGTTGTGATTGTTTTTTTCATGTTTTGTCCTGTTTCTGTGCTGGTTGGGTGGTTGTGGCAGCTACTTTTTTATTCGAAGGGTTCCGGACATCTCACATACCCCTAGAATAATTTCTTTCCTGGTGGAAATCCCACAGAATGGCATTCAACATGGCTCTTTCCTGGAAGTGCCCCCAAAATGTGCCAACCTTTCATGTTTCCCTCTATTTCTTCCATCTTCTTTTCAGCAAGAAGCATTTGGTTGTGATTGCTTTTTTCATGTTTTGTCCTGTTTCTGTGCTGGTTGGGTGGTTGTGGCAGCTACTTGTTTATTCGAAGGGTTCCGGACATCTCACATACCCCTAGAATAATTTCTTCCCTGGTGGAAATCCCACAGAATGGCATTCAACATGGCTCTTTCCTGGAAGTGCCCCCAAAATGTCCCAACCTTTCATGTTTCCCTCTATTTCTTCCATCTTCTTTTCAGCAAGAAGCATTTGGTTGTGATTGCTTTTTTCATGTTTTGTCCTGTTTCTGTGCTGGTTGGGTGGTTGTGGCAGCTACTTGTTTATTCGAAGGGTTCCGGACATCTCACATACCCCTAGAATAATTTCTTCCCTGGTGGAAATCCCACAGAATGGCATTCAACATGGCTCTTTCCTGGAAGTGCCCCAAAAATGTCCCAACCTTTCATGTTTCCCTCTATTTCTTCCATCTTCTCTTCAGCAAGAAGCATTTGATTGTGATTGCTTTTTGCATGTTTTGTCCTGTTTCTGTGCTGGTTGGGTGGTTGTGGCAGCTACTTGTTTATTCGAGGGGTTCCGGACATCTCACATACCCCTAGAATAATTTCTTCCCTGGTGGAAATCCCGCAGAATGGCATTCAACATGGCTCTTTCCTGGAAGTGCCCCCAAAATGTCCCAACCTTTCATGTTTCCCTCTATTTCTTCCATCTTCTTTTCAGCAAGAAGCATTTGGTTGTGATTGTTTTTTTCATGTTTTGTCCTGTTTCTGTGCTGGTTGGGTGGTTGTGGCAGCTACTTTTTTATTCGAAGGGTTCCGGACATCTCACATACCCCTAGAACAATTTCTTCCCTGGTGGAAATTCCACAGAATGGCATTCAACATGGCTCTTTCCTGGAAGTGCCCCCAAAATGTCCCAACCTTTCATGTTTCCCTCTATTTCTTCCATCTTCTTTTCAGCAAGAAGCATTTGGTTGTGATTGCTTTTTTCATGTTTTGTTCTGTTTCTGTGCTGGTTGGGTGGTTGTGGCAGCTACTTGTTTATTCGAAGGGTTCCGGACATCTCACATACCCCTAGAATAATTTCTTCCCTGGTGGAAATCCCACAGAATGGCATTCAACATGGCTCTTTCCTGGAAGTGCCCCCAAAATGTCCCAACCTTTCATGTTTCCCTCTATTTCTTCCATCTTCTTTTCAGCAAGAAGCATTTGGTTGTCATTGATTTTTTCATATTTTCCGGTTTTCCTTTCATGTATCCCCCATCTCTTTTCTGTATCTTAATCTTTCCTAGCGTGTCTTTTCTAGGAACTGGTCTCCTCATGTCTCCTCTGGCTGCTTTAAGTCCGATGATTTGGCGAGAACATTGGGGCCTCTATTGCTGCGAAAAGCTGACAGATTGCAGAGAGGCCACGACTGGCGGAGATGTGGATCCTACGTGTGCGAGCGGATTGGCTGAGCTAGGATTTCTTCCATGTTCACTTCCATTTTCTTTTCATGTGCTTGCAAAGAACCTGCGTGGGAGGGGGTAAGAAAGGGCAAGAAGCATTTGGTTGTCATATGTTTTGGCATGTTTTGTCCAGTTTCTGGGCTTGTGGCAGCTACCTGCCCTGGCATCCTCGCCAACTTTGAATTCTGAGAGACTCTGGCTGCGGGCGGAAAAAATTGGGTGGCGCAGTCTTTCTGCTGGCATGGAAGGGTTTCAGCTAGCATCACGGTGGGGTTGTACAAACCAAATTTCAAGCCCTCAGTTAGCAAAACCACGCTGTCATATCAGGCTGCCTTGACCTTGAAGGATTCCGGTGCAAGTATTGCAGCTTTCTGCATACTACATGATATTTCATGCCCAAATATGTCAGACAATCAGAAAAAATATATTCAAAAATATTCCAGGTATATGGGGAGCTCAAGGCCAAAAATATTCCAGGTATAGTCCGAGGGGGGGGTATCAGATACCCCTTGCCAAAAATATTCCAAAACATTCCAAAAAAAATATTCCAAAAAAAATATTCCAGCACCTCAGGGGTATACCTGGAATATTTAAGATAGGAGCCCCCCATGTTGATGTTGGTGTTTGCGTTAGTGTTGATGTTGATGTTGTTGTTTGTTCTTTTGTTTTTTTTTGTTTTTGTTTGTTGTTGCTGTTGTTGCTGTTGTTGCTGTTGTTGCTGTTGTTGCTGTTGTTGTTGTTGTTGTTGTTGTCGTCGTTGTTGCGGTTGTGTTTTCGAATGTCTTGTATGATTCTGTATGTTTTGACATGTTTTGACATGTTCTTGTATGTTGTTGATGACGATGATGATGATGACGCTGGTGAAAAGATGATGATGATGATGATGGTGATGATGATGATGATGCGATGAGGATGAGGATGAGGATGAGGATGAGGATGAGGATGATGATGATGATGATGATGATGATGATGATGACCTTGTCATTCCTTGTCCTTATATGCGCCTCAACCCTCATAATTTGGTGCTGCTGCTTAAAAAGAAGACCATGGTAGAGAAAATCACGCTCCCCAAACAGGGACGTGAAAGGATAAATATGGGAAATTGTCCGGCATGCAGGCAGCGGCAAGTCAACTTCCATCGTTTTTACCCCCCTCCTCGCTGGCAGGTGGTGCGCAAACCTCATGCCTAATGCATCAAACCTGTGAATTTTCTTGGCTCAGAAAGGGAAAAGTGATGGAGCACAGAAAGCTCAGGCAGTTGGCGCTATCCAATTGGGACAAAGAAACAAAGGTATGCGGAGAAAGCAAGCGCAAGCAATGCAGCACGTGGCTTCGCATGGATTGCAAGAATCGCACGCGTCCACACAGAAGCAAGTAGCGGGGAAAACTGTTGTGTTGAAAGCGAGCCGGCCGTACCAGCAGTATCTAAGAAGTAGGACACGTATCTTACAATATACTCCACTGCGGCGGTAGGGAAGCAAAACACAAACCATTGAACGCGATAGCCGATAACCAAAGCCATCGGGTACTGTCACACATTTCATCACATATCAACAATGCTCAACTTCGCACGCGGTAACCTGGCGAAGGAACATCACAAACAGTCAAAAACAATCCGACACCACCAGCTGTCCAAATTATATCAAGTTATTACGGCAATAAGCAAACCCTTGCTGGTTCTTGCTGGCCTGTAGCCATGGCTGCCATGGCTACCCGCAGCCGCTGATTTTTGATGCTTCTTGCGCGCTCTAGTGCGGCCCAGTTTGGCCTTTTGCTTTCGGAGCGGGCTGGGGCCCTGTCTGTCCCAGAGAAGAGAAGGCACACCTCTGGTCGAGCCTCACCGGATCAGCTTGGCTGCTGAGTCTGTCGTGCAACAGTTAGTGCTGACCCCCATTTTTGCCAAGCCAAAAACATGCGCAGCAACTTGTTGTGCTGTTTCAAGGGCCTATGATCAACCAGAAACCTGGGTCCAGCGCACTCACTTCTCTAGAAATTTTCCTAATGGCAACGCTGCCTGCTTCAACTGCTTGCTACGCTGGGCGCACCGTTGTGGCACTACTGTGTGCGAAGTCCTTGCACTTGATATCTGCATCACAAGCTTTCCTTCCAGTGGCAAGAAACGAAAATTAAATCGTCGAAAAGTGCTTGAATCATAAGGAATGCTCTGCGATCTCTGCGGTTTTGACAGCGGGTTGATTCGTCGCTGTGTCCAACAACCACAATGAAAAAAACAACAAATTTGCAACAGGTGGAACATGCTCGCCTGGGTAATTTTAACATCTTCCGACAATATGGACATATCCAGACATTGCGGCTGCTAGCTGTTTTCTATATGTTTCTGTTTACGTTTCTTTTGCGCAAGGGATAAAATAAGGTCTTTTCTTTGCACAAAATAAGGTCTCTTTTCTCCCGGCATAAAACAAACATAAACCATACACATGTACAACACAAACGTATCAAAATGTATTTGCGTTCTCGTTTGCGTTTTGTTTATGCTTATGTTTTCTTTACGCGCGTTCCAAAAATAAGGCCTTATGTTGCGTGATTTGCACAAAATAAGGTCTTATTTTCCTCCGACATTAAACAAACATAAATTCGCAAACGTATACATAAGTAAAACATAAACACAACGCAATCCAGTCCCAAAATACGTTACTGTGTCACATGTGTTTCGCATATGTTTCACATATGTTTCACATGCGACTCACATATGTTTTCACTTGCGCTGCACATACGCTTCACATACGCACCACATACGTTCCGCCAGCGTAAATGTGTATGTTTCATGTGAATTTTACATATATGTTTTGCATGTGCGGCCACTTAGGATATGTATACGTACCCCCTCGTCAGGCTCCTATAGACGGAAGCCCTGGAGGCTTTTGAGATTCAGCGAACTTATGATGTATTCGATTTCAAGTGGCAAATTCATTCGGCAAGACTAAAACGAAAACAAATACACTTGTATATTCGCCTTCGTTTATGCGTAATTCATTCGGACAGACCAAAAAAGACCAAAACAATCCAAACATGTATTCGGTTTATTAGGCAATTCATTCAGTGAATATTGAAGATGAAACAAAAATCCACTTATGCATTCGTTTTCAATTAGGCCTTCATTCGCGAATAATAACAAAAACAGCAATCGCATACTTGTGTATTTGTTGTCAATTAGGCAAGCCGTTCCGGAATACTGGAGCGAAAGCACACATGCACTTATGCAGCAATATGATAGTCCTACTTAATGATTGGGGAGGTTTTGTAATCAGATGTTAAGATTTGCTTAGGCATCTTTAAAAAGTCTAGTGACTAGTGCATGAAGACATTGAAAACGGTGTATAGGCTGGAACAGGCGAAGGCTGATTGTCCTTGACACCATTGTTCGCTCTACTCAAAAGGGGTGCTATTTGTGTTGGAGGAAGCTTCATGATTGGGGCGCCTCTAGGCCGAATGATAAACCCATTCGTTGATGCTTCCTTATTTTCCTTGGACATGTCGATAAAGGTCCCTGCCTGCAAGCCCCTGAAGACAAAGATGACACCAAGGGCTGAGACCCGGCAGCCAAACCTCACTTGGGCCAGGTTGGGCCCACCTCCACCGGAGCAAGCAGAACTATCCCAAGCCGGTTTCTCGAGTTTCTCGCTGGAAAGTTCTCTACACATCAGCAGGGTGCCCACATGCAGCCCTTCACCTGCTTGAGGCAAGAGCCCACTGTACTTGTGCAATTCTCCACAGGACGAACCTGGCAGAATGCTAATTGGAGAGTTCAAGCCATGGCATGGATTGAAAAAAATTGGTTGCTTTCCTCAATTTGCCAGCAACACATCGTAAGAAAAGCTTTCGCAAAGCTCTGGCATTAGCCAGCACCCCTGACATGATGAAGGCAAGGAACCGAAATCGAAAGCATTCTAAAACGCTACAATAAGGTAATGCTAGCCAAGGCCGTGCTGTCATCAAAATGACTCAACATGCTGCACGCCAGTTAGAGCGTCTAAGTTTCTAGACACGGAAGAGCAGCAAAAAACCAACGGCCTTTTCTAATATTGCCACCTTCCAACTGCAGGAAGCACCGCATGGTGGCACCTTCGCTGGCGAAGCTGTGGCTCTTTGGTGCGAGATGAGCTCATGGCACCAAAACTTCAACTTGTTCCAAGCCAAGCGCAACTGATTTCATGGGGATTCAACACCCCCTCCCAAAATGACCGCATCAATAATTGCTGGTTAATAACCCTTTACTAATGGTTTTGGATGTTATTTGCTCTCAAAAAGCCCTTAAACAGCTTTTCATTGCGGGTGTCACTTTGGGAGGGCTTTGCTGAATCCAGAATGATGGGGCTCTTTTTCTCTTTTAAAGCATCTGGACATTCCGTCCCTGTGCCCTCTGGGTTTGTCAAGGCGTTTCGAAGTCTTGAATCCGCCTCTCCATACTTTGACGCCCAATGGCAATGCAGGGCTGATCCCAACCTCAAACCGCTTTTGCACTCGGTGCTAACCCGCATGCAAGGCAAAACCACAACCAAAACTGCGCCCCTATAAACATGCAAATGTTAGATGGTTTAAGCAAAGGCGTATCGCATGCGTAGATCTAAATATATATCTCCCGGCCTGCCGGTGTGTTTTGTGGGTTTCCTTGTGATTGATCCTTGTAGACCCTTGTAGTAGCTATGCTCCAGCTTTAGATCTCCTCCAGCGCGGGTTTTTGCTGTGGCTGCCCTTCCCGCCCCTCTTCATCCTTCATCCCCTTCATCGAAAAAATGGGCCCAAACCGTGCTTTAGTGAGAAAAAAGTGGGCTCCCCTGTCCATCTCCCTCTCCGTTTTCAAATAGAGCCAAAAGCCAAACCCATCCATCATTGTCCGGTGGCATCAACCAAGACCATTTTGTAGATTAGCCTTCAGTATCCAACGAATTACCAAAAACTTTTCGTAAAGCCACGCCCATCTACAAGACTATCCACTGAAACCATTAGCCAAAGCACCGTTGTAGTTTTCCCTTCGGTTTTCAGCAAATCACCCAATCCATTTTGTAAAGCCAAGCCCATCTATATGACTCTCCGATGACATTATATAACCAACATTTTTGTGGTTTCTTCGGGTTTCAGCAAATCACACAAGCCATTTTGCGAACCAAACCCATCTATAAGAATATCCAGTGACATTAATCGAAAACATAAGCCGCTCCGTAGGAGAGCAAGCAGAAACGAAAAAGATCGAGCAAATACGTTCAAGTCATATCAAGACCGCAACCCGCACGCGCGCAATCAAACCTTCCAGTGATCAGCCGGTCTTCGCGCTTGTCCTGCTTCTTTTCCGTTTTTAGGTAGGGCCATCCCAAGATCACCTAAGATCACCACGGATTGGTTTTGCTTTTTTCCGTCCTGAAAGCCCTGCAAATCAGCACCGATCACCCCAAATCGTTGCAGAATCACTTGGTTTTCTTGAAACCAGCAAAACCACGCAAAATCACTCCAGGTTGGCTCTGCTTTCCGGCAAATCAGCACAGATCACCCCAAAGCATTGCAGAACGGTTTTGCTTTCTTGAAAACTAGAAAGGTCACCCAAGATCGGTACAGATTTGTTCTTGGTTTGTCCTGCAAATCATCATTACAGCATGGCTCTGGGTTTTTTCTTGAAAATCAGCACGGTCAGCTAAGGTCACTACAGTTTGGCTTTGTTCCAAGCAATGATGTCCTAAAGAAGGTGGGCCTTTGTTAAGCGCTGAAGGTACGGCAACGAGAATCTGGATTTTTTGGAAAAAGACTGAATCTCAAGTGCAGCACTGCTTGTCACCAGTTGAAATTTAACCGGGAAGGTCATTGGTAATGTCAATGAAGGAAAAAACTTGAAATGTGGGCGCGTGTGGCGATGGCGCGATAGAATCAACAATCTCCCTAGGACCTCTTGTATACCCAACCGGATCTGTCAGGTCTCAAAGAGAATTACTGTACTGGCAAGAAACCTGTTTCACATATTTTTCGTGAAGTTGTGACTGCAGCAAATGGTGCGAACTCTTCAGGTGCTGGGTGCTCGTTGCGACCTGCTGATGTCAGACGTGGCGTGGGTTAATGTTCTGTTTGGAGCCAGGTAGCTGCGGGCGCCTTTGCTCCTACAACCGCCGACTTTTTGTTCCCCAAACAATGGGACCACACTGGGTAAAGCCCAGGTTCGTTCAGGGGTTGCGTTCTGGGCTGGGTTTATTCAAGAATTGCTTTCAGGGCCCGTTTCGCACAAAAAATCTGTTTGTGAGATGTCCATGTGCATGCGGACGACGCAGGCTCACGCAAAATGCGGGCGCCGTTTTCGTCTCTTCCGAGGGTCTACTTTTACCGGCGCGCAGCGCGCGTTTTTTGAAGTATGTATCTAAGTTTTTCGTTTTTGGGTCTGGAACGTCGTTTTTGCTTGACGCGCGCACGCCGTTCAACTTTTTTTTAAATCATTTTTTCCATCTGCGTGGCTGGCGTAGGCAGACATGAGAGGTGGATCTGTATAGAGGTGGTTTTGGAAATCATGTTCCGCGGCAGGCGCAATGTTTGGTGAATTTGCACGAATACCGCGCCATTCGCCATGTTTGATTTGATGCGTCCCGATGATTTTGCATGGCAGCGCGCAGCCAGTACTGCGGATATCTGCGCATGCCTCAGCGTCATTTTTCGTGGGAGATGCTTTTCTTAGCAGACCTCGAAAAAAATCAGCATTCAAGACCTGGGTACAACGTGTTTTCTTTTCATTTTCACACCTTTGAATTTTGGTGGCCCGCGCGACCCTTGGTGAATTATCTGAATTTAAAACACGTGCCCGGGCAACCCTTGCGTCAATTTGTGCTGCGGCACGGTGTTCAGTTTGACATCGCTCGGTCAAACATCTCGTCACTTCGTGCATCTCAGATCAACTGGCTGTGGCATGGTGCTCATTTTGACATTGCTCGCGCAAATCTCTCACCTCTACAAGGTCCGCCTACGATGATCTTGTGAAATTCTCTTCGGGGCCCTGGTATGAGTTCCTGGACAAACATAAACTCCTGCTGCTGCACATCTGGTCCAGCTCCAATAATGCCAAACCCGATCTGCTACTGTTTCCATAGCAGCTATTGCTTGTAATTCCAGACATTTGATTTCCTACGAGATGCTAGGCCCAACACATTCAAAAATGGCAAAGGCATGCCTGCATCATGTCGGTGCTCTTTTGGGGGGCTAGCCGCTCCAAAACGGAAAAGTGAACGGGGATGCTTTTACACAACTACCCCTCCCACCTGCTGGCTTGATATCGAATCAACTAGCCTTTGTAATCCTGTTTTTCCTTCATGCCCCAGGCGCTCCAGTTGCAAGCCACATGGCCAGGGGAATGCCGAAGGCTAATAAATGAAGAAGCCATACCAAAGTGAAAAGGCCCACGGCATTCTAAGCATACTGCTGGATGTATGTCGTGGCATCGCACAAGTGCTGAACCTATGCCGTGCATAGGCGCACCCCACTGAAGAAGAAAGGAGTTGCAATAAGTCAATATTCAATAGATAACAGGCACTACTTCCAAGCGTCTGTTGATCAGTGTACGACGAGAAAAATAGGCGCTATGTTTCAGATATTGGCTGACGCGCTGTTGAAATGCAGCCCTTGGCTGAGATCGCGGCTTGGCGTCCCATCATCGGCTGGGTCACTTGGATTCTCTGCAAGATTTGCATGGACATCATCAACATGACTCCCGCGCAGGAGGCAGAAGCGAATGCGTAAATTGCGGCCATGCACTTGTGCCGTCCTGGAAGCATGAAGGCACAGCATTACTTGTCTTTTTTACCGGCAAGCCCTATTTTTGCAAATTACTGAGTACTCGTTAGCTGGTGACTATTGTCATGGTGTATTGGCTGCCCAGGCAGCAGCTGATACCGCCAGACAGCTGATCAAAGCTTTGGCGTCCTTGGGTAGCAGTGATGCCAAGCAAGCTCGTCACCACTACCAGCAACCCCACGAAGAGAAGCAGCTGTACTAATGACCTCGGCCATCAGGCAAGCCATGGTTACCTGATGCCAACGATGTAAAGTGATGTGACTTATATGCAGCGTGCTCATGATGGCATATTCCAAGCCCCCGCGAAGTAGAACGTTGTTTTCAAATGCCAAGTCACATGGTGGTTAGCACATGTGAAGCCCCATCCATCTCGCTGCCGAAAGGGCCGGCAGTATCGAGCCGCACCACCTTGTCCATCAGGTAAATAGCCTCGGACCTAAGCAAACTGAGCAGAACTAGGTTTTGCTCACATCTTTGGCAGGCTTAGAGCTGCGATTTGTTTCCAGAGGCCTAAGCACCCATTCTCTTGGATTTGTTCTTCGAGGTCGATTTGCTTGCATTGTCTGCAGCGCTGTCAGCCGCTGCACCAAGGCACTTTGTTCCGAACATCGCCACAATGATGAGAAGAGCCCCCACCACCAAAGACAAGATTGCCCATGCGCGTGCTGCCATCCGCTGAGCCCACCTGTCCTCACAGCTAGCTGGGCCAGACAACCATGGCAACTGAACAAAATTGCGGCAGCCGTCGGTGGCCCCCGGTTTACGGACGTGCATGAGGGAAACACGCGCGCACACACACACACGCTACAGATTGGGTGGTGAGGAGGTGCTCTTGGCAGCCGTGTCCTCGCCCTGCAGCTTGCTGAGCTAGCGAAACTTGAAATCGCGGGATGAAACCGACGTTGCGAAACGTATGCGCGCAAAGCCAGCATGACGGATGCTGTGTAACTTCTTCGCGGCGGAAACTATATGCAACTGGGACCAGCGTGACGAAACTGCGCGCCGAAACCTGCATTGAATATGCTGACTTGAATGGCAAAGGCATGGTTTAAAACTTTCCTGAATCATCTTGCATCAAGCGGCAAAGCACGACAAAATTAAAGCATTCTTGTCCGTGGTAAGCGTTTGTGTTTTTGGATTGTTGTTGCGCAATCCAACCTGTAAATACCCGGGGTTTGGGACACCCACAAGAGCCTTCACCAGAGACAGCCTAACATGGTTCAAGTCGAATCTTCTTCAGGAACCAAAGTTGAAATATTTTGAAGCCAGGTTCAAAAAATTTGCATTGCCTGAAAAAATTGGACACCAAGAAAATCCATTTGATTTTCCCACTGCCAAGGTACAGGTTTAAGTTCTGAAGGGGTGGTGATCCAGAAAATACAACCAACAGTGATCATCATGCTTCTGCAGGTACGCACAGCTGGCCGAACTGGATTTCAAATTTCATGCCATTTCACGGGTACTTTCGTCGGAAGCAATCCCAGTGACATGCTACGTCCCCCTGCTTCTCGTTGCGTTTCTAGTCAAACATTAAATTCTCGTTAAATTCTCGCGACACATAAAATTCGGCTTGCTAAAGCAAGGCAAACCCAACTAACCCTGGCATGCAGAAGAACTCAAGCGCAAAGCCGAACAAGCAACAAAGCAAAAAAAAAACAGTGATAAAATTTAGCCGGCCAGCACAGCAAAGGAGCAATCTCCCGGGGGAACCGCAGGGCTAAAAGGATCAATTAGAGCACAGTGAAAAGCATCGCTTCAGAACACAGCCATGTTTTTGGATAGCTTTAGAACACGGTCTGAGACACTGCTTCAAAACGCAGCAGTAAAACACGAGATCAAATTTACTGACAGGCGCAGCGCTTTGAAGGGTCACGCGTTCTAAAAGCGATGCCTGTACCAAAAAAAGCAACGCGGATGAGAAATGTACTCCTTACATCCTGTATTCCACGCAATGGCTCTCACTACTCTGACCTTGGAATTCATTATGCTCAACTAATCAGCCATTTAAAGTTTATTTGGGGGGAAGGTGTGGGTTTCAGAACCAACCACTTAGAGTTTATTTTGGGTGGGGAAACATTCTACTTACATCATCATTTCAGTTTTCTTCCCAAAGTTGGAACGACTCATTCCACTCTAAGGGCTCTTACTCGTCTCTTGCCTTGGGCAACCTTCTGCTCACAGCAGCCATTTTAGGTTTAGTGGGGGGAGGGAAGGGGTTCAGAACCACCCATTTAGGGTTTATTTGGGGCGGGGAACATTCTGCTCACATCATCATTTCAATTTTCTTTGAAAAGTTGGAACGACTCATTCCACACTAAAGGCTCTTATTCGTCTCTTGCCTTGGGCATCCTTGTTCTCACAGCAGCCATTTATGGTTTATTTGCGGGGGGCTCAGAACCAGCCATTGACAAAGAAGAGGAAGAAGAAAATGAAGAAGAAAAAGATGACGAGGCTGATTATGATGATGATGATGATGATGATGAGGATGATTCTGACGATGGTGATGACGACGGTGATGATGATGCTGACGATGACGATGACGACGGTGATTGTGATGATGACGACGGTGATGATGACCATGCTGATGCTGACGGCGATTATGATGACGGTGGTGATGATGATGATGATGATGACCATGATGATGGCAGAGAAAAACATGATGATCAATGATAATGATGATCGTGATGATGATGATGGTGGTGGTGATGATGATGCTGCTGCTGCTGAATGATTTTCGGTGCGTTCCAAAGCGATGCGTTTCTCCGCTTTCTGAAGCGCGGACCTTACCAACTGCCAACGGCAGGCGTGAGAGGGAGCCGGGGAGGGAAAGGAGGTGAATGACAGGTGTGGATAAAGAATGGGCGAGAAAGGAAAAGGGAGCGGGATGCATTCTGCATACTGCAAGGAGAGGAAGATTCACCCGGCTACACCCAAGCATCCAGGGTCGCACCGACAAGAAAGGGTGGTGAGTGCATTCGCCGAGTTGTGCTGGACCAATGTCAAGACAACATTTACTTCTGCATGTGCTGCTTTGCGGGACCGTTTGGCTTCTTCGCCTTTTGACCGGTGGTCTAGCCGTCCACGCCAAATGGAGCCACTTCACTTGACTAGAGACGGCTTCCACTGTCGCTACATATTCGAGCAGCTCTAGGTACAAGAGGACGCTGCCAAAGCATGTGATCAAGTGGGGCTGGGCTACCACACGCGCAATCAACAGGAGTCTGGGTAATGACTCCAAAAGTGGCAATGGTAACCAAACCACCAATGCGAATTGCAAATCTATGAGCTGAAGACTGCACACTGAATCCCTACCAAATTAATTGGGGGGCTTCTGGAAAATGTAACTTACATGTTTCAGGGGTAGGGACCCAGAAAATGTAATATTTCATTTGCTTTTTCTTAAAGCCAGAAAATGTATTGTTACATTTTTTGAGGCCTGCCCAACAAAGGGGGGGTGCTGCCTAAATGTAACTTACATTTTTGGGAAAATGTGCAAGGATGTCTTACTGTAGAGAGGATCTTCCCTTCTAAGAGGTCCTCATGAGAAGATCTTGTGGAGATCCTGTTGCATTGAAGTCCTCTCTGGGGGGTTCTTGTGTGACCTTGTACAGGTCCTTGTGAGAAGGTGTTTTCTCACAAGGATCTACGCAAGATCATGCAGGAACCTCTTAGAGAGGACTTCGCCAGGATCTCCGCAAGATCTTCATGGACCTGTACAACATCATGCAAGGACCTCTTAGAGCGGACTTCGCCCAGATCTCCACAAGATCTTCTCATAAGGGTCGGTGCAAGATCATGCAAGGACTTCTTAGACAGGACTTCGATAAGATCTTCACAAGAACTTCGCACAAGGACCTGTACAAGACCTGTGTCAAGACCTTCATACATGAAGGACGGCCATGAAACCCTTGCAAGATCGTCCTAGGAGGACCTTCCAAAAGATTTTTTTGCCAGCATCTTTGAGAAGCAACTAAAATGAGCACCGCGGCGCAGCGACAGCGATCCCACACGCCCAAAAAGTGCCCAGAGGGTTGTGCGAGCCATATCCACATTCCCACCGCACCACGGCGAGAGCGACCAGACACGCACAAAGTGCCGAGAAGGTTGCGCGAGCACACGTTAGATTTTCACAAGACACTGCGCGCACGACGAAAATGGACCATTGAAGATCTCAAACAGCGACGTTTTACCCACGTTTCAGACACTTTCCTGTCGAGGTCTACAAAGTACGGCGCCTGCCACGAAAAATGAGCCGGGGCATCCGCAGTGCACCTGCCACGTGAAATCATCACCGTGTCCAAAATGAATCCAAATGAAATTTCGCAAAGCGGGACTTTCGACCCTTTCAAAAACATCGTCCACATTCACCAAATACTGCTCGAGCCACGAAAAATGAGCTCCAAAAGCACCTCTCATTTTGACCCACACCTGCAGACGATTTAGTGACGTGCAGAGAGTCCCACGCCTGCCACGCAGATGAAAAAATGTCCGATATCCTGCGGATGCCCCACACCTGACACACGACTTGGACATAGCTCAAAAAACGAGCACGGCGCGGTAGTAAAACGAGACCCTCCGAAGAGCCAAAACAGCGGCGCCCAACTTGTGCGAGCCTGCGCAATCGAGATGCACATGGACGTCTCGCAAAGGAACTTTTACGCGAGAATTTACAACAAAAATGCCGCGCCCCCAGATCAGCAAAATCCGCGGCGCAGACTTTGTGCGAGCCTGCGCGGTCGAAATGAACATGGACATCTCGCAAAAGCCACTTTATGCGAGAATTTACGGGTGAAAGCAGCAGACTAGATGGAGCACCCTGATCAAACCACGCATTTAACACCTAAGGTGAGAATATTTCAGTGTGGACACACTGTTTGGGGAAATTACTAACTACCTCCTAAAGGGTCTCCAGAGTGGTCCCCCACCTCAATTAGCACTAACTCCCCACCTGGACATAATGAATGGTAGACTTCCCGCTCGCCTAGATTGTAGACAGATTATGGACAAATTATGGTGGCATGTTGCCCGGAAGACCTATGTAAGCAGATTATGGACAAATTATGACAAATTAATTCGATGTGGCCCCGCTCTCATTCTCAAACATTCAGATAACCCACCAAACAATCCCTACCGTTTTGGCAGCAAGGGACCTCCCCAAAATGTAACTTACATTTTTGAAGGTAAAACCTTCGAAAATGAAACTTACATTTTGTGAAAAACCCATACAATCAGCACCTTGAAAAATGTAAGTTACATTTAGGGTAGGTCCCTCTGAAATATTACATTTTTGAGGTAAAACCTTCCTAAATGTAACTTACATTTTTGAAGGTGCCATTTCTGTGGAAGCCTCTATTCCTCAAAAAATGTAAGCTACTTCTTGGGACGTCACAAAAGATTGGGCCCTCATGGGAAAAAAGACAGAAGCAAAGGTAACAGTTATAACTTAGCTTGGTTCAAGAGCTATACTCTGTAGAGGGCCTAGAGGGTATATACGTATATACATATAGGTTCCGCATTTATTTACAACATATATGGGCAATATGTGTCACATATGCCCCCGCAATTGTTTTTTTACATATGCGCAAATGTCCGTAAGATCTGATTTTGTGTAAATAAGATCTTACGGACATATAATACATGTCAGTAAGACCTTATTTACGTAAAACAAGATCTTGAATCTTAAATATATGATATATGATACACAAATGTAATGTATATGTAATGCATATGCAACTGCAAATGTGTACACAAATGTCTACATGGATATATGTATATGATCATTTCCGCCTGTACTCTACAGAAACCTGGCCCACATAGCTCTTGAATCAAGATAAGTTATAACAAAGGTAACAGTTATAATAAGCTTACAGATATAGTGGCACCCCCAAAAAAGGAGGGGGCGGGGAAAAAATGTAAGTTACATTCCCCCCCCATTTCCATACTCACTACGTGTGTAGTGTATTCCTGGGGAATACCTTGATTTTGCTTTGACCAGGACCATACCTAGGGGGGTCTTAACTTACACTTTTCACCCTTCCAAACGTGGATTTTTGGTACCTTAAAGATTTTCATTTACAATTAACCCACCCTTAAAAACAGCCCGAAAAATGTAAGTTACATATTGCAAGGTCCCCCCCGAAAACCTAGGTTAAGGGGGTGGGGATACCAAACATATAGTTCTCGAACAAGACTGGAAAAAGTAAAATTAATCGAAGCAAAAAAACTCGTGTGAATTGTGTGCCTCACAATGTGGCATAGAGCACATAACCATATGTGCCGTGGATTTCCCTTTTGGGCCCAATCCCCTTTAGGGCACTTTGGGTTCCCTAGGGTTCGACGCCATTTGGCTGCTGACCTCGCAGCCCTGGACGTAAAAGGCCGCACCTTCTTTTGACTGCGTTGCACTTCGTGTGGCAATCAGTGATCAGTCTGTTCCCCTACCTGATGAACATTGGTAGCGGAGCCATTCCAGGCTCCCTACCACGAGCTCTCCTACATCCCCTGCAACGTGGACTACTTCAACATCGAGCCCAACGCTTCACCCCCACTACTTCGCTGTCGAGATCCTCACGCTCTTCGTGCTGCGCTGGCTTAGGCGACCTACATCTTGCAGAAGGTCTTCTTCGAGCTTCCCTTCTTCGCCTTTGCCTGGAGTTGACATCGTCAAGGACTCCTACATCCCCGTCTTCTCGAACAAGCCAGAGGACTCCCGAGAATGGAGGACGAGAATAGTCCTTTACCGACGGAAGATGGAGCTGCAGAAGAAGGACAAGGAGGCATGCATCAACCTGATGACAAGCCTGACTGGCGTAGCACGGCGCCAAATAGAGCACCTGGTCGACAAGGCCGCGGAGGACAAAGATGGATTTGATCTGACCCTTCGGCAATTGGATCAGACGTTCAAGTACGACGGCCAAGTAGAGATGCCAAGAGCCTTTGAGAAGTTCTTCTACGGCACCTCACGCCGTGAAGGACAGACACTTTTGAACTATGTGGCTGAGCACCGCGAGGCATTGGCAGAACTGGAAAAACATGGAATCTCCCTACCCGACAAGGTTGCTGGCTGGGTGCTACTTCGTCGAGCTGGCCTATCGCAAGAGCAGAAACAGCTCATCCAAGGAAGAGCCCCTGACTTTGCGCAGAAGGCTGTGACGGAGGCGATGTACTTCTTGCTTGGCCAGGACTTCAAGGGCAAGAGTGCTGACCGATCTTGGCGTGGAAAGGGCTATGGATCACCAAACCGTTGGCGAGGTCGACAGCAAGGCTACATCACTGAGGACTTCTACGAGGCTGAGGATGACAACATGGTCTACGACGAGAACTTCGACGACACCGAGTTCGACGAGCTTTGGGATGATGCCTGCTACGAGGACGACGAGTACGAGGAGCAGACCTATGCCGCCAACGATGAGGTTGACGTCAACGATGAGACCTACTGTGAGGTCGAACAAAACTATGAAGATGCGTTTGCAACGTATCTTGATGCCCGGCGCCAGATGGCACACTTGAAAGCCTCTCGAGGATTTTTCCCGGTCGTGGCTCTGACTGATGGAGGTGGATCTACAGCTGGTTCCCCGATGTCACAAGGCCCAAGACCTCCAAAGGCCAAAGGCTGCGGAAAATCCAAGTCCAAGTCCAAGAACAAGACCAGCACCTGGGCCAACAAGGGAGGACAGATTCCACAGCGAGCCAACGCCACACGTTGTCTCAAGTATGGTCAAGTTGGACACTGGGCAGCCCATTGCCCACAGAACTCACCTTCGAAGTCGCAATCTACGACACGGCAGAGCCCTACATCCTCTCCTACCTCAACATCTCCGTCCAAGAAGGCCAAGGGCAACGATGGATCTGCGATAATGGTGCGCGACATGGCCAAACAAGGACCTCGAGGAGTACCACACCTGGGCCCTGCTGGATGGTTTGGACTTCAAGATGGAGAGACAAACTCTGCTGCTGCGGTGGGGCAACAATGTGGGTTTCATCTGAGAGACAATACTCAGATGGCTTAACGAAGCAAAGCGCGGCCCAACTACTGGCCGACAGACTTCGAACTCACTTGGTCGAGTCAAGCTGACAAGTGATGTCACGTTTGAAGCATCGAAGAAGAAGGACCCAAGGAACGGAGAAAGAACGCCCTGATGTATGCCGAGAAGACGCCCTCTCGAGCACTGGCAGCGATGTTCGCCATGTGCATGATGGCAACTTGCAGCGCTGAGGAGATTGACATCCAGTACGACCCCAACCACTACTACTTCATCAACCTGAACTTCAACGTTGTCCCGATCCTCATCACGACGATCATGGCCTTGCTCTTTGGCTACTGGTGGATGGGGGGCCATTTGGCCACATGGACTTTACCAACTACATGGTGGAGAGCGACTGGCGAAACAAGAGCTGAAGCCGAAGCCTTCCAAGAAGCGAGTAGGCTGAGTAGGCCAGCTCCGGTTTTTGCGGATGCAGGTGTCGAAACTGACATCAGGATGGGTGATATAGTGACCCAGATGGAGTACGTACAACTGGTGGATAGCATCGAAACTACATACATCTCTCGAGAAGATCACCACAGAGCTTTGAGCGACCAGGAGGCTCACTCCAGGTTAGATGCACACCACAGGGTACAAAGTCCCATCTACTTCACCCAGAACGGATGCTGTTGGCATGCAGATTACTTCTGCCTCCGGCGTCAAGCTGCTACGAGGATCCACCAAAGAGAGTTCTGCACGCGATGTTGCCAGTCATTAGGCAGTGCGATGGCACCACAGGACTGGGAACGAGACCTATGAGATGGACGTGGTGGACAGTAGCTTTTAGCCAAAGGTTTCAATTTTTTCTTTTCTTCACACTTTGACCAGTGTGAATTGTGTGCATCACAATGTGGCATAGAGCACATAACCATATGTGCCGTGGATTTCCCTTTTGGGCCCAATCCCCTTTAGGGCACTTTGGGTTCCCTAGGGTTCGACGCCATTTGGCTGCTGACCTCGCAGCCCTGGACGTAAAAGGCCGCACCTTCTTTTGACTGCGTTGCACTTCGTGTGGCAATCAGTGATCAGTCTGTTTCCCTACCTGATCAACAACTCGGATAACAAACGGTCCACCTGGATTAATTTCTGAAGGTAGGCGTTGTAAATGACTCATCTCATGAATGTAAAGGTCACCTACATAATATTGAGAACATTATACACACTTTTCTATCTATCTATCTAGCTATCTACCTATCCATCCATCCATCTATCTATTTCTACAAATGGCCAAACTTCAAAGTTCGCAGTATGTGCATATGACGCGGGCAGCACAGAACAAGGCGGATCATGCTTCAAGGAAGCCGCAGCTGCGAGTAGCTGCCAAGGTTCTTCATCGTTTTCGTAATGTTCATCTGGGTCCGGTTCACCGTTCAGAATGCTTTTTGCCATAGCTTTGACGAACCCCCCGCCAACTTTACACGTCAGCCGTCTCAGGTTTCATGTCAGCAGAATGCTGTGGGACGAACAGGCGCGTCGTCAAGGGTTCCTGTGGGGATATTTACTATTTAATCATTCTGTGGTAATGGTGGGGGTGTTTGCACACCTCTTGAAGCCCTTGGTGAATGGTTGTTGCTCATGCTTGTGCTGATGCTGATGCTTCGGACCGAGAATCCAGGCAACAGGTTATGAATCGTCCATACTGGGTTTGCGCAAGCGCTAAGTTTTCGTGAAAAGGGTGAAACCCACCTTCTTCTTGCAGGCCCATGACTACCGTGTGTAAAAGCCCCGTCAAAATAACTTGATGCTTCAGCTGCTGCCAAAAATCCAGTGCGTGAACATTGAACATTACATGAATCTTTTTCTCCGCTCCGGTCACCATTGAGCCCTCCTGATGCAGCTATGCAGGCAGTGAAGGAAAAAGAAACCAGACTTGACTCCATCTGATTAGGTCGCACAGAATCAAACAGTACAGCGCCTGATTCTCGTGGCTGTTTGTGGTATTGCGTTCTTTGCCCCAGCCATACCTGCAAAAAAGCCACGCGGTGAGGCCCTATAGTATGCCAAACCCCGGCTGGATTGCAGCCCCAGTACCAGATTTGCACCTTCATCTTGCTTGGTTTTCAATGTCATTGACCGTTGTCAAACCAAAAGCCTGTGCGACCCACTTCTCATCCAAAGCCGGTTCAGCTGAGTGAATTGTGCGCCTTGACTGGGGCACCGGGATTCGTTCTACCGAAGGGGGCCATTCAGTATGAAGACAACAAAAGGAAAGCGCAAAACACTTCAGAAGCAACGAGCATGAATTGATGTCCGAAAATGATGCATGGTCAGTCAGGTGCAAGTGTGTGCAAGCTCCTTTAGCATTCCTGTCTTGTTGGCTGCCTGGGCCTTGATTGCTCGTCTGTTACATCAAAAGCCGCATTCAACTTGAAATCGCAGATTAAACTGCCCATGCGCTCCATCACTGGGGCAGGTTGCGCAAAGCCGGATCCTTTCAAACAAGTAATGACTAATGACAAACAAAAGCCCTGAACCCTGGCCCATGACAACGCCATATTGTGAACTTTTTGGAATGTTTTGGAATGGGTTAAAAATTGCGTCTGTGCACCAGCTGCTCAGTGCAATATTAATATCTTACCTCCCTCAATTTCACCAGCAAGGCAGAAAACGTGTATGCAATGCTTCGAACTTCTATCGTCTTCTATCTTTGGTTGAGCGCCCCGAACCTTTAAGATCTTTAAGGATCTGCTAAATTTCAAGCTTTGCCCCAAAACAAACATCAACAGTTTTGAAACTATCCGCAAGGTTGGGCTCAATCATTTTCAGCTTATGAATTCTGCGAGAGAAAATTTTGCTTCATCCCCCTTCTTTATTTAGGGGAGGGGGCCCATCCAAGGCTTCCGATGCGGACAATAGAAATGAATGAACGCGTTCAAAAATTTGACTAGCGCGCAAACCAAAATGTTTGATTCTCTATCTTCTAAAGGAAGGCGACGCTGCCCCGTGGTCTCCACTCTGAAAGCGCCATGGCCCGGGCTCATCTGGATAACCTCAGGAAAATCAGATAAGGGCCAACAGTGGGGGTGGAAAACGCCTAGCATAGGAAGCTACAAAACACATTCGAACATATAATACATTCTGCGGGCCGATGCAAGTTGATGCCAGGAGGAAGATGGGAAAGCTAGCAGGTTTATACAAAATTTGTATCGGCAGACTAGGTTTGCAACGGCCTGCAGCGGAAGGGGCATGATGAAACCGTAATATCAAGAAAGCAACGAAAACCAACTGGCCATGATGCTACTGTAGCCGTGTGCGCCGTGTGAGCCAGAAAGATCTTTGCACCCCAGAAGAAGCCAGACGGAAAAAAACAAGCCATCGTGCGCGCGACGCCGTCAGCTGTCGCAGGCCCAAAGCACCTTCATGGCAACTTAAACGGGTATTCACCAATTCCAGCATCGAAGATCGAGATAAGACCGCAGCCAGCAAGGATACGCAATCACGAGGGTGGTGCCCATGATTCATGACGATAATGAAGATGATGTAAAGATGAAGGTGCTATCGAATCAAATCGACCACGATAGGGTGTGACAACCGCTTCATGATGCGTTGACATATCCAAAAGCCAGGGCCGAGGAAGGGAGCAAACCAGGGGTAGAGGGGGGCAGGGAACAAAGGACAATACATGCGAAAGCAAACGCGCCACCAAATCACACAAGTATTGTCGTAGTGCATGGAAGCAACCCGGCTCCTATTCAATTGCCGTAAGCGAAAGGGACGGCCTTGCAATATAAAAAACAATATGTGATTTGGACCAGAAGCATCAACATGGATTCATCTAGTATTTAATGATATGAATATCAATAATCAAGCGTCTTGAATGTATTTAAAAATCATTTCATTGTTGTGAGGGAAGGGATGCCCAGACTTCAGACTTCAATAAATTCCATGCCTCGTGGCTAAATTATTGTTGGTGAACAGATGTGAACAGGGTGCCCAAACAATTAAGAAACCGACTTGCTTGCGTCACACACTTAATCTCAGGTTTTATCCCTGTGAACCATATTACAGCAATAATTCCATGGCGCGGGAAGGGGAAATACAACCTGGCGGAGATTTTCAAAGGAATTCCATGCTTCTAGCTCGCCGTTATTTCTTGCTACTAACACCAAAAAGCTAGCAAATTAGGACCCGGCCGGCCGGGAATCTGTTGTGAATCGCGCCCAAGATGCTTGCTGGCGGCACCTCGGGCTCCCAGCCATCTCTGAAGGCCGGAAAAAACAATAGCCTCAGCAGTCAAATTTGACAAAGCAGAACTATCGCGCGTGTACCAAGAATGGGGGTGATGATGGGTGATGTCTGGAGCAGTGTGAAGTAACAAGCACCTGGCAAAAACATTGCGGGGTAAGTATCCATAAGCAATGCGGCAGCAGCGTGTTGGACGCCTGATGCGATTCTGTATCCATTAGCTTTCCTCGACCACGTGGCTCAACAGAACAGGACGCTGGGGCCCACCAGCCCTTGGCCACATCGTGGCTTGATTTCGAGATCCAGGTCAGGAAACCTGAGCGCAGAAGCCCAAGTCTAAAAGTAGGATCAGGGACCGGGGGCCTACTGAGAAGGCCCTGAGCATCATGTCGTGGGGCCGTTTCAGTCCTAAGCAATTCAAACTCATGCTGCCCGGTGATGAAGGTGGCCTCGTCACCCCGCCGTGCTCTACATCGTTCAAGTACACCAACAAGGTTGCATGACGCTGGTAGTTGTCCTGGCAGCAACAAGCAGTGGCACACCACCAAACTGGCGTGTAATGTGAGTTCATCATCAAGTAATCTCAAACAGATCTGTTAGATTCTGGTCGCCTGCTTGACCTGTTCCCACGCAAAGGCGTCCTGTCACATCTTACAGAGCAAGGGGCTTGACAGCCCTTCACAGCGAAGAAAGGCAATCAATCCCTGCTTAGAGCTTAAGAGTTCCGGCCCCAAGACTTTCAACCTACTATTTCGCCGTCAAAGCAAGACTGTAAACTTTACAGCGCGCACTTGGTCTAAAAAGGTCCTTGCTTCACTTTCTTTGAACATGTTGTGCGCTGTTGCGTTGTTGCCTCGTGCAAGTCAAACCTTTGGCCGCGCTCGTAGCGTACCACCTGGCACTTGCAGGTGATAAAACCAACAAGAGCATCGTGTAGCTGCAAGAGGCCCTCGCATTGCATGGCGTAGCATCGTGGGCCTGTGGATACTCGGCGCTTTCACCCGGAGCTCCTCCAACTCCAAGGACCTGAAGCGGTTTGAAGATTTCCGTCCTTTCGCATTCTTGTTGGAATGAGATTCACCGCCCCCCACACCTAATGACAATACCAGTTATATTTCAAGCAAGTGACTCAGGACTTGTGAAAGATACCCCGGGGTGGCCAAGTCCTATCTCATCATGCGTCGGACCCCCCCTCGACAAGTCCGTATGAGATTAGAAACTATGTTTGATTTTTTTTAGTGCGGCATGGACCACTCGTAAAACCATGATGACATAGGACTTGTGCCCCTCTGGTGACATACGATTTTGTGCACCAAGTCCCGTGCATATATGTAACGTAATTTACTGTAATTTACTGTAATGTACTGTAATGTAGTGTACTGTAGTGTAATGTAATGTGCTGTACTTTACTGTAATGTAATGTACTGTAGCGTAATGTAATGTACTGCAATGTAATGTAAGTATGTAGGTTCTGATGACTTAGGACTTGTGCCCATCTTGAAAAATGTGATTTTCATTTCTCCTTCGATTTATATAACTAAATAAATTGAAAAATATAAACAAAATATGTTTTATATTTATTCTTTCTGTTTATATTTATATTTATATATATATATTCAACGTATTATGTATTGTGATGTAGTGTATTGTATTGTAATGCAATGTAATATATGTATGTAGGTTCTGGTGACTTAGGACTTGTGCCCCTCTGGTGACATACGATTTTGTGCACCAAGTCCTGTGCATGTATGTAAGGTAAAGTACTGTAATGTGCTGTAATGTAATGTAATGTACTGTAGTGTAATGTAATGTACTGTACTTTACTGTAATGTAATGTACTGTAGTGTGATGCAATGTACTGTACTTTACTGTAGGGTAATGTAATGTACTGTAGTGTAATGTACTGTATTGTACTGTAATGTACTGGAAGTATGTAGGTTCTGATGACTTAGGACTTGTGCCCCTCTAGTGACATACAATTTTGTGCACCAAGTCCTGTGCATGTATGTAATGTAATATACTGTAATGTGCTGCGATGTAATGTACTGTAGTGTAATGTAATGTACTGTACTTTACAGTATTGTAGTGATGTAATGTACTGTACTGTAATGTAATGTAAGTATGTAGATTCTGATGACTTTTTAAGAGAAGATTTTTTTTAACCCTAAAAAGTGCTTGAGTCCAATCACAGCCCCAGTGACTCAGGACTTGGTGCACACAAATCACCTGGTAAGAACACCAGTGACTAGGACTTGGTGCAAAAAATCCTATGTCACTATGGTGGTCTAAGTCCTAAGTCATCAGCCCGAAATATAGGAAGAAGTTTTACATCTGCTCAGATGTTTCACACACACACCTGGCCGGAACCGGGTCAACCCTGAAAGGCAAGAGGAAGAAAAAAATGGACACCAACGACGGGGCAACGGACAAAACAGCGAAGGGGGGAGGGGAACAAATGAACCTCGAAAACCAACCCACACAGAGAAACGAACCTAACCAGCACAGAGCACACACCTAAACCCCATGACATATTACAGAGGGGCACGAGGGATAATTAGGGACCAAAAAGGGAACTAGTTGATGAAGAGAAGTGAAACAACAAACAAGTTAAAACGGATTCAGTTCCTAGAAATAAGGTCGTGCGATACTCCCTCGAAGGGACGGTAGTCGGTCACACCCACACGTGGGCATTAAACGGCTGTTCAAATTCATACGAATTGGGTGCACGAAATGTTCAACCCCAACAGAGAACCATGAAGAGAAGTGGGCCACACCTGAAAGCATGTAGCCTCGAGCCGTCCATGATCCATGAATGCCATGTTGTCGACACCATTCCTGTCTTTTGATAAAAACAAGTTTCAGGCTGTTCCGTACAGCTTCACTTGAGCAAAGGTGGATTTGCCGAGGTATCTCAGGGATGGCAGGGGCAGCAGGATCTCGAGAAAATGGTTCAGAACCGAATGGCCGATTGTTTCACTTTACGTAGACGAATTACTAAATTAAAAGTGTAGAGCCAGAGTTCTGTTCGCCCACGTTCTCCCAAAAGGGTTCCCTCAAATGGGTCCATGGCACCATGTCGGAGCCACCATGGAAATCACACTAAAAAAGAACTGGATCAATCATTGAAATGATTCGTCGGGAGCTGAACCCCAAAACGTGCAATTAAAATCAACTAAGCAGGATTATGGATCCAAGGTAGTTCTCTAGAATCTAGAAATTGACATGCTTTGCAGGTACGTCGGGATGATCAGTCCCGATTTCGCAATCTCAAGCCACCGTCTTCGTTGGGCAGTGGATGGAATGAGATTCACGGCCCCCCCGCATCTAATGACAATACCAGTTAGGAAGAAGGAAGAAGATGAAGAAGTTTTACATCTGTTCAGATGTTTCACACACACACACAGCACACACGCAGGCACTCAGGCATGCAAGCAAGCAGGCAGGCACGCAGGCAGGCAAGCTGGCAGGCAAGCACGCACGTGTGTGTGTGTGTGTGTACCATCTGAACAGATGTAAAACTTCTGATTGGTTTTCACTAATTTGCAGGGGGCCACGGCTCCATTCATCAGTCCGTGGCCAACGAAGCTACTGATGTTTGGAGAGGATATGCAGTCTGATCAACTGCACGTACCTGCTTTTTTCGGACATAGCAAGGGGCCAAGCTTAGAACCCCAACCACAATATTATACAATTTGCTGCACTGTTGTCGCAATCTGGAATCAATTTTGAAATTTACATGCATCAGAACCTTCCTCAGATTTTCGCCGAAACCATATCGCCGACAGTATTATGTTTTTTGACTTATTTTCGCCGAGATCCTGTCGCCGACGAACTATGGGTTATTTTGGGAAACAATCGCCGAAACATTATTTTGGATTTCCACATGCTGGTCAAAACTCTATGGAATCTGGTTATGACTACGTTTGACAATTTCGGATGCCCTACATCGTTTGCGAGAAGTTCCTCATGTGGCTCTTTTATTCATCTAATAATCTAGGCTGGTTTGCATGTTTCAGGATTCAGTTCCTGCCGGATCATATAATGATCCATTCTTCTCTAGTGTGATTTCCATGGTGGCTCCGACATGGTGCCATGGAGCCATTGGAGGCAACCCTCTTCAGGGTGAGTGTTGACAGACTTGAATTCTGAATTTACACTTTTCAACTCAGTAATTCATTTAAGTAAAGTGCAACAGCCAGCCTTTCGGTTATTCGCCTTTTGTGATGTCCCGCCGCTCCTATTGTCCCAGGGACCCCAGTGCTGCGTTCTTTCAAGGGAAGCCATTCCGAATGTTCTGAAACCTCCGTTTTTTGCAGCTGCTTTGCAACACCGTTGCATCAAATCATGACAGAGAAATCAGGCAGGCACACGACTTTCAGGTGTGGTGATCCTTTCTTTTGATGGTTGTCTGGTGAGGTGAAACATATTGTGCACCTAATTCGTTGGAACTTGAAAGCTGTTTTATGCCATTGCGGCACGACTTGACCACGGTCCCGGTGCAGGGAATAATTGCACGATTTTGTAGGTAGTTAGGGACTGAATCCTGTATGTGAAACTTTTTACAATTGTCCACTTTTGTTTTGACCTACTGAAGCGATGCATCCGTGGAACACTCCAACATCATGGCCTGCTCCACCACAGCCTTCGAACCCATCTTCGACGTGGCCGCAATCGACACCGAGTGCACATTTATTTGGACATCCCTCGGCTTTGCATCCTACATGGTCATCCTCCGCTTCGCTCATGCCGTCTACATCCGCCCCAACATCGTTGCCGTTCACCTCGTTGACTTCGGCTCCTCATGCAGTACCAGGTCCACAACTTGTACCCACCATGCCTTCACCTTTGGCTCCTGAACCAACTATGGTACACACCGCTCCGTCGACTTTTCCATCTCCTATGGCACCTACCGCTCCACCCGCGTGGCCTTCCACTTCGGCTCCATCCCCTACATCGACTACACCACCTACATCGACTATGACACCGACTCCTTTGCCCAGTTCTCCATACCCACCTCACCACATTCAACCTCCATTACAGATGGACGCATCGACGATCCCTCCAAATGAGCCTTCACCACGGCCCCCAGCAGTCAAAGCAGCTCCCAGGCATCGCTCTGACAAAAGACCGGATCGACCGCGCAGACCAGCTCCGAAAACCCCTCCTCACGCTACACCATCGACACCTCAGACAGCACCGACTTCATCCGTTCCACCTGAACTTGCATCCCTGGGTTCCACCGCACAACAACTGGCCGAATCTGTTCGACTTATCCAAGCTCAGCAACTATTACTCATGGATTCTCAACGGGCACAAGAACAACGTCAACTCCTTCTTCAACAAGATGAACATCCACCGAATCCTACACCACAGATACCGCCACCTACACCTACACCACCACTGATCGCCACGCCTCCACCTGCACCAAAGGCCAGACCCACCGAACCGGACGTTCAGGACCATCGCATTGTCCCAGCTCCAACCATCGCTCCTCCTCACCAACCACACGGTCCACCACCACCAACACGCCGACCACGATCCCGAACTCCAAGATCACGTTCCCATCGACCTTCTGTACTTTCCTATCGCCTTCGCCATTCTCCTCCACGTACAGAGCGACCTCGTTCTCCTCTCCCTCGTCATCGATCATCTACGAAAACCGACAAGAGCCGCAGAACACCATCTCCATACAGACGACGCTCACCACCACGACGCCGCTCTCCTGTGGTCCCTCGACGTCACCGCTCCCATCCACGCCCACGCTCCGCGACACCACGTCACCGATCCCGAGGCCGTGAAGTCATACTTCGACCTGCTGCAAACCCATCCAATCCGAACTACATTCCTACTCCTGATGCTGATGACACCTGGGGTACATGGAACGAAAGCCATTACAACGACGCCTACGACCACCACACTGCTCGACCCAATTCTCCTACTGATCCACCACCATCGGAACCA